ACAATGGAATAGTACTCAGCAACCAAAAAAGATAAACACATGCCTTTTGCAGCAACATGGATGGAGCTGGAAGGGATCATGTTCAGCGAAATAAGCCAGAAAGAAAAGGAAAAATATTCCTTTGTTTGGAGGGGGGTATTCTTTGGGTGGTAGAAAATTGACCAGATTAAATACTGGTTGATAACTTCAACTGACGACTATTGAGATTTGCAAGAAAAGTAGTAGATCATATCCACTGACATTATACCTACTCATTAAGAAAAAAGCAACGACAGAAATATGTAATATTGCTCTTGTGTATGTAAAATCGTAATACACTTGAGGAAAGCACTGAATACCCCTAGCTTCTCTTTTCTAAGTTACTTGAAACCCGACTCTTCAACCCCTACGGCTCTTTCTCAACACTGGCCCACTTCGTATTTGGGGCTGAATAATTTGTGGTGTGTGGCTCTGTTCTCTGCATTGTAGGATCTCTGAAAAAGCAAGACCTAGAAATAAATCTGCAGAATGGATGTTACTAGAGGGAGGGAGAGATGGGGGGGAGGGAGGAAAGAGAGGCTGAGCCCAATTGTCCACATAAAAGGACTATGGATGCTTTGGTGTTCGGAGTGGTGTGGTGACCGAGAGGCATGAACCTCCCGGAGATCATATACAGTGCTGTAAGCCAATGTTACCTCAGTAAAAAAATTTAAATACACACACACATAAACACAAGCAGCATCTCTGACCTCCCCCCACCAGGTGCCAATTGCACCCCCTAGTGTGAGAACCAAAAATGTCTCCAGGCATTGTCAAATGCCACCTCTGGTGCAAATTCACCCCCATGGTCAGCACTACTGGCCTAACGCATAACTTCAGGGTCACCCCCCTGACAGCCACATATCCCGACCACACAGAAAGCACCTCCTCCTAAGAGAACAAACTGTGCCGTGGAGGCTGAGCTCCCAGACCCCCGGGCTGCCATGGAAATGGCGCGACAGAAGCATCAGAAAACTGGGTCTCACGCGGCAGACTCAGAGCAATGGCAGTCTAAAGCTGGCGCAGGTTTGCTCCACAGAGGGCCCACAGCAACATTTCAAGGAGCTTGTACAAAACAGACGTCTCCTCTGTCCTTCCAAACCCAGCATTTCTGAGAGTGGCGATATACAGGGACAGTGCCCGCTCACACCCTCTTAGACAACAAACACATCATTCAGATTCTGCTTATACTGAAGCGCCAAGTGGACAGCCCTGCTGCTGGGAGCTTGCTGCCTTCTGGAGCAGAAAGTCTCTGTGGTGTGCTCCTTGCCTATGGCAGTAGCTTTGGCTACCTTGACTCCCTTCCCAAACAATAAAAAAATCTATTGGATGGATGGGGTGACCGGCTTCCTCACAGAAACTATAAAACCTCGCCATGCCTGCAATTTGGGGCTCAGACATTTGGGGAGCTATCCCACTGAGCCTGCGGGTGTGACAGATATCTCTCCACCTCTTCTGAGCGCCACCTGATTTCTCTGGGAAATTGCTGTAAACTATCTCTAATCTCCTCTGCATTTTTCTAAATTATGAAGCCTATTTCTCAATCTTCTAATTATAAAAATAATGCACACAGATTTTTTTTTTAATCGGAAAATGCCAACAACTAAGAAAAGCGAGAGCACCACCCTCCTCAAAAGCCCCACCACTCTGAGGCAGTTTGGTCTAAGGTCCTTTCTCAGGGAAATTTGTCTGTGAACATCAGCCCACAATAGGCCTCTTCTATCAGCTAAGTTTTCTTGATCTGCATTTTAAGGGATTTATAAGGGCATCGTGGTATCGTGGAAGTCTGGGTTCTTCACAGCTTGTACCTGGAGCTCTTGTGTGGGGTGGGGATGACCTCACCTCAGCATGTAGGCAGTGGTGGGCAGGAGGACAGCGGAGCACCTGGCCGTTGCCATGGCAGCGATGCCCTCATCACTCACTTCCTCCAGGTGACTGATTGCCCGGGCTCCCAATTCAGCCCCCAGCTAAGCAAAATGGACACAGAGAGAAAGTTCTAACCAATGGTTATCCATCAAGAAAGCACCACAAAATAGTTTTCCTGAAAAACCAACAATACTCCATTAAGTAGATTTCTTCTCAGCTGCCTCTATAGGCACATGCTGAGGGGTGATGGGTAAGGAATATAAGGGGCTTTCATTTGTAAATTAGCTAGTATGTGATTTCAAAAGCTATTTTTTCCCCAAAGATTTGTTTATGCAGACAAGAATTGGGGTACTGGTCAGAGGTGCAACGGGGTGAGGAGGATTCACCAATGTGCAGATTGAAGTACACTGCTGAGGGGAGCAGTGGGCAAGACAGTAGAGGTCTGCTGTGCCATGTGGGTCAGCTCCCTGGCTGGGGATCGAACTCATGCTGCAGTGGCTGTGGATAGCTTCAGAGTGCTGCTGAGCTTTAACCTATTGCCACCAGGAAAGGCCCGCAAAGATATTTTACAACACAATCTCTCTGAGATTCTTCAGACATTTGTTTAGAATAAATCTTATGAATAAAATAAAATGTTGGGGCCCTCCCTGGTGGTGCAATGTGTTACAGCACAGCACTGAGAACTAGCCACAGCTGCGTCAGTGCTAGTTCGATCCTCAGCCCTGGAGGTGACCTCGTGGTGCAGCAGGCCTCTCCTGTCTCAACCACTGCTCCCCTCAGCACTGTACTTTGTCATCTGTTTGTTCTGCTCTCCACTGTTTCTGGTGAACCCTCTCACCAGCCCTACATCTCTGGCCTGCACTCCAGTTCTGTGTGCATAAATACATAAATAAATCTTTTAAAAAATCTTTAAAAAATGTAACTTAAAAAAAAAAAAAACCAAACCAAAATGTTGAATGATGTTGGCAATAAAATCAAATTAGCAGAACATCGTAAAAACAGAATAATAAAAGGTATCTTGAAATACTGTTGCACTCACTGAACACCTGTAAGTTAAGAAAGTAAACTTTCAGAATGTGGAATTATATGTATAATTGGAGAATCTCTATGTGAGCATGAATTCTCTCCAGATAAAATGCTTGGGATGGATTGTTCCCAGAAAACCAAGGAGGTAATAATGGAAACAGGCACTAATGTGGGTCTCACCTTACCTTGACAAATTTTTTCACATGCACACAGGTACTCTAGGCTCACAGACAGATGTGTTAAGCTCACCAGGGAAATGAGAGCAGATTAAGGGCTGACATGAATAAGCAGCACCGGGAGGCTACAATGCCCCTTCAGGCAGGTCAGACCTGCCCTCATCAGCAGCTCGCTCAGGCTTGAGAGCAGTTTGAATTGGGATCCTGGGGGAGCCCACTGCGTCACAGTGCAAACTGTGCTTCCCTGTGGGGGTGTCTTTCTGACCTTGGAATCACCCTTTTCCAACTTGATTTGCTCATCCTGGGTATTGACCTCTATTGATTTAATTCACCGATCACTCTCTATGACCAAAAGTATCTTGTTGACCACCCAGTTCACATCCTTTCAATAAATATTTACTTTCTAAAGGCTTCCTATGCCAGGCGCTGTGTTAGCTTCAGGAATAGGGCATGTAAGACATGGTACAGTCCTCAGAGTATGTGTATAGTCCAGCAGGCTCACAGAGGTAACTCAAACACCATGGGTTGAGTACAGGGAAGGAGTGTACCTACTCTGGGGGTTTTAGGAGCTCCAGAGAAGCAGTCACTAAGAGGAAACACAGGAAGGACCAGAGTTAGCCAGACAAAGGAAAGTGTTTGTATTAGCAGGAAAGGAGACAAAGGGGCTCAGGTGTGTTAAAATGAGTTTGAGCCTGGGTCATGGTAGCGAGGGTAGCAGTGGTGTAAGGTGGAGGGGATAGGAGAGGAGGAAAGAGGGGGAATACGAGGAAGCATGGGCAAGATCCTGGTAAGCCTGGCAAATGGAGTCTGGAATTTGTCCTACATTAACGGTCATAAGTGGTTTAAAGCAATGGAGAGGAAGGAATAGATGGACTGAGGGAGTGGATTAAGGGAGGGATTAAAGTGGAGGCCAGAACAGTTATTACAGGAATGCCAGAGAGAACTGACAGTAGTGTGAGTTAGACATTGGGGTGAAGAAAAGTAGATGTAGAGGTAATTCAGGAGAGAACTGGGAGGACTGGCTGGTTGGTGAAAATGTGCTAGGTGATGGGGAAGGGGAGTCAAAAGGACATCCAGGTTGTTGACTAGACAATAAATGGGTGGTAGAGTCATTTGCTGGGACAGGACACTCGGAACAAGAGTTGGAAGAACTATTAAGAAATCAAGTAGCACATGTAGTTGAGAAATGTGTGATATCTATGTCTATATTTATGCCCCATGGGTATGCTCCATGGACAGTTGCTTACTTATTTCTTTTTTAATTTTTTAAATAGAGATGTTAGGTTTTTTGTTTTAAGATTTATTTTATTTATTTGTACATACAGGTGATGGGGTGTAGGCCAGAGGTGTGCGGGGGGAAGGGAGTTGAAGATTCACCAGAGACAGAGTACAGGGGAACAGAACAGGCAGATTGACTGAAATACACTGCTGAGGGGAGCAGTGAGTGAGAAAGGAGAGGTCTGCTGCGCCATGTGGGTCAGCTCCCCGACCAGAATAGAACTCACATTATAGAGGCTGCGGACAGCTTCATAATTAATCCCTTGCACCAACAGAGTGACCCAGTTCCAGGCTTTAGAGGAAAGATGTCGAGACTTGTATCTCTGGAGGGATTTTGGTCTATTTAGTTCACTGCTGAATTTTCAGTGCCTAGAACAGTTCCTGATACATAGCAGGCACTCAAATATTTACTGAAATCGTGAATAGATGAATCTGGGCAAGACACTGAGCTTTGTGTCTATGAATGCTGTATTCCACTAAAATTCACCTGGATTCTGCCACAGAAAGATCCTAGTAGATTCTGCTAGTACAGCATTCAGAGCCAACCAAAATGGGCAGTGGGATTTCAGCAAAAGAGATCACAGTGACTTCTTATTCTACATGCATTAACAGTTGAGCATTAAGTTAACTGTTCAGAAAAAAAAATGTTTTTAAAACAGGCCAGCAATTTCTAAGATCAAGCAACCCAATCTGTGCATCTTTCAAAAAAGAATTGCCCCACTGTCTTTTCAGAAATCTGCTTCTTCCTCTGACAAACTAAGTTTTCCATAGCACAGTGTCAACAAAAGGCAAAAGGCCAACCATACCTCAGCTGCCTTCATCGGGTGGAGTTCATCTCCATGAAAATTAATTTGTAATCCTATATCTTTTCCACTTCGAAGAATCCTCCTGGTGGAATCCAGATCAAAGACGCCTTTCTCACAGAACACATCTATGTTATCAACGTGTATTTTCCCGCTTCTGCCCAGTTCCTGCAGCTTGGGCAGGTGATTGTTGACTATGTCATCAGCAGCTTCAGTGGCTGTTTTTCCTCTAAGGATAGAAGATGAGATGAGCATGGGCAGATAATGTCAAAAATCTTGGACAAAGATCAGGTGACACCCCTCCTGGGCGCCCCACCACCCCTACTGGGTCTCACTATCCAAAGTTAAACCGGAGGTTGAGATTACTTTGGCACCGAGTGAGCCCCGCAGTAAGTGGCGGAGATGCCCACGTCCAGCTCTCGCCGGGCGCGCTCAATCACACGCAGCATCTTGAGCTCGGTCTCCAGGTTGAGGCCGTATCCGCTCTTGCACTCCACCAGCGTGGTCCCCGCCCGCACCATGCACTGAAGCCGCTGCTGGAAGGAGCTAAACAGCTCCTCCTCCGAGGCCTGGCGGGTGCGCTCCACGGTGAAGTTGATCCCGCCGCCAGCCTGGTGAATATCCATGTACGTGGCTCCTGCCAACTGAACACACCACGCACGCTCGGGCGGGCCCCCGCGGGAGGCACAGACCCGCCCAGGGCTCGCCCATATTCAAAATGATCACAAAGGATGCTGAAACCACCCTGGAGGCAGGGAGGCTGCTGGGGTTAAGAGGGGAGCTGAGGGGATGGGGCGTGCCCAGGAAGGGACTGGGGTGGCAGAAATGGGAGATCCGCTGGGGATTACTCGGGGCCTAGAGCAGCAGCACTGTACTAGCTGGTACAGAGTATTTCAGTCTTTTCATGACTGAGTGTGCCGCCCTCCCCCGTCTCCACCCCCACCAATGCTGTCTCTGCCTCCCTATATGCCTCAGCTTCTTTAGGCTTTCTAGGAGAAAGCCAAGCATCTGCAATTCGGGACCCCCACTGCATTATTTGGCCACTCAGGATCCCAAGGGGACTCTCCATGCCTCCGTGTTTGGCCACTAGAATTTGGGCCTGGGGCTTTGTCACTGAAAGAGCCTGTCTCTGGGGTCCCACTGCTCTGTCGCTCTGGGCAGGAGCAAAGAGGTGCAAGACAAGTAGCCGCCCTGGCCCCTCTTCAGGTGGGTTCTGTCACCTGGGCCATGAGATCAGCCAGCCCCCTCTGCTCTGCGGAGCTTGCTGTTTCCCATAATGAAAGGGCTTGAGAGGACTGGACAGCACATCTCCAAGGATGCTTTTGGAGATTTAATTCTGTGATTTAATAAAGAAGCCTGAAAAAATAACTCTAGTTTGTGGGGGAAGGCATGCAATATCTAAAGAAGGTTGTTGGTGTTTTTGTTTTTGCTTTTTTTCCTGAACCAATCCAATTTAGTTGTTAGAATGTATGTTTTTCAAAACAAACCAAGGAAAAGTCATGGAAGAAACTGAAGTACGTATTATTATGTGGAAGAAGTTAATATGAAAAGGCAATATACTCTATGATTCCAAGTAAAAAGTTGGAGAAGTTATAGAAAGACAAAGACATAGAAGACAGCAAAAAAGATCAATGGTTGCCAGGGGTTGGGGGGAGAGAAGGAGATGAATAGGCAGAACTCGGAATTTTAGGGCTATGAAACCATTTTGTACGATACTATAAAGTTGGATTCATGTCATAATACATTTGCCCAGAAGCACACAATAAACAACACCAAGAGTGAATTTTAACATAAACTGGGACTCTGATATTGCTGAGTCAGTATAGATTCACCACTTAGAACAGGTATATTGGTATAAAATGTATAGTTATATTTAATGCATTACGTGTGATTTCGATACGGGGCCAGGCTAAAGGTGTGTGGGAGCACAGCTATCTGGGGAGTCTATCTCCCCCCTCAAATTGCTGTGAAACCAAAACTGCTCTAAAATTTATTCAAAAACAAGCATCGTGAAAATGACTGCCACCAGGGATTTGTAGATTCATGGTGCTTAATTTATGCCTCAATAGCCTAGCAGGTTTCCTCAAAAGTCTCATTTTTTTTCTGAGACAGAAGAGAATACAAGACTTATTTATCTACTTGATTAGTGAAATATTTCTCCAAGTTCGGCCCCAGTGAATGATGATTTTCAAACTGTTTCCTGGACACCCTTCCAAGGCGGCCAGAGATGGGAGGGGGAGGGGGAGGGGCTGAGAAAAATCGCCAAGCAAGGTAACTCAGCTGTTTTCTTGACTTTTTTTTATTAAGATAACATTGGTTTATATCATTGTTTGCATTTTAGAGGTTTTTGTTTGTGTTTAAGATCCCCTTCGGGTGTTTTAAAAGGAGGATTCTACAATTAATGTTTTTAATCAATTGTAAAAAATTATTTGGACAAATGTATTGTGACATGAATGCAACATTCTACTTGAAAGGATTGCCAGCTCTACATGTTGTATGAAGATCTGGGACAGTTATAAAATACTTACTTATATTATATTTATTTTCTATAGTTCAGACCAGTGAACATATCCACTAAAAAGAAATGTACTGGAAAGCCTGATAGGTTATCAACTCCTTACGAAAATACTTGTATACACATGTGCTTTATTCGTATGTGTTAACATTTATTGCAGTTACCTTCATTGCAAACTCATGAACTCTATCACCAGCCCACACTGGATGTGTGTGTGCATCCACCAAACCTGTAATCAAGAAAGCAAATCATTTTCAAATTAAAAAAAGAAATAAGGCCCTCCCTGGTGGCTCAACAGGTAATTATGAAGCTTAGCTGCAGCTGCTTCAATGCAAGTTCTATCCCCCGACCCAGAGGTGACCCACATGGTGTGGCAGACCTCTCCTGACCCGCCCCCTGCTCCCCTCAGCAGTGTGCTTCATAGATCCGCCTGTTCTGCTCCCCGCTCTGTCTCTGGTGCATCCTCTTACCCCCTCCACTCCAAGGAATAATGTGAGTGTAAAAACAGAATATTATAATGCCTAATTCAAATTTGAGAAGAAAAAAATATGAAATCATAAATAGGAATCTTCCTTCAAGAAAACTATTTTAACAAAAGAGAAATTTAAAGCCATCACCTGGAACTTTTGCTTATCCAGGTACAAGTCAATAAAGTGGGACTATTTAAAATGCCTCATGGAGTAAATGGCTCGCGCTTGATTCTGATTGGCTGAAATCCAGAGTCTCTCTTTAGGTTGCTTTCTGAATGCAGCTTTCTGCTGTATTCCACTCTTTTACACAGGGTTTTGCCCTGATTTAAGAGCCAAAGGTGGAAGTTCTGTCAGAGATACACAGCACACATTTAAATATATCGCCCAGCCTCTTTGTTTGCGGAGAACTTCTTTCAGATAATGGTATGAAGCCATACAAAATCAACAATGTATGAGATGTTAATAAACTGATTCTATTGCCCAAAACTCAGATAAGATTCTACACTGTCTTGGATATTTCACCCACGAACTTCAGTTGTGTTACCTGAAATCCACAATAATGATCCTTCCCTTACAGAGCAAGTATAAAAATCCAACAAGAAAGCCCATTTGCAAAACAGTCTGACTTTTAGGACCAATACATGGTAGCTACTATTATATTTAATGTTACTATGAGACCTAATTTAAAACAAGCAGTTACTCTCTCTTTAAAATTTTACATTTCATGATTTTACTGGAAAAAAGGTAATACCTGGCAAGATGCATTTCCCAGAACAGTCAATTCTTTCTTCAAACGTTTCTTCAGAAAACTGTCTTTGTATAACATCAGCAGGACCAATGGCCTTTATAAACCCATCCCTGAAGAACATTCAAGAAATAATTATTAAAGTTTGGGAAAATACTATGAGAAGTTTTAACAGGGTGGTCCCAGGAAAGGGGGAAGTTCCTGGTTCCCTGCCCCACCCCAAAAGAGGGTAAAGCTAAGCAGGAAAGAGAAGAATCTAGAGAGGAGACTGAAGAGGAAGGCAGCAGGATAGAGGCCAGAGGGAGACCTGAGGGAGGCACAGGGAGCAGAGACACACGAGCAGAAACTGCGCTTGCTTCTTCTTGGCCCTGGAATGGTTGGAACAGACGTGGGTGAGAGACCCGTGGGAAGGCTGACTATGGCAGCGTTTATCTTCATTTTGATTTTGCTCCCTTCCTCCCAGAACTGTCTGGCCATTTCTGACACTTTTCTATGGATCCCACTGGAAGTTGCTTTAAACTTTTGCAGCTTTCAGGACCTGCTTTGGGCCAATCCCTTTTAGGTGGACTTTCACCCACGAAGGGATGGGTAACTTTGGGTGTTTGATTCAGAAACTATATTCTTTGTCTTTTCCTTATTGCACGCAATTGTATTAAAGTTCCTTTCCATTAGAGGTCTTATATTTTTATCTTGATGAGGCAGATGGTAGAACCTATTTAGAGCAGCTGGTTTTGGGGATTCAGGGGTGCCCCTCTCACTGCCCTGTAACAAAGTGACTGCATTTCAGGCCAGAAGTTACTCTGGTAACAGAAGGAGCCAGTTCCCCAAGATCCACATTTCGTTTCCTCAGAGTACTGGAATCTAGATGACTGCGTTCAGCTTAGCTGGACATCTGACCGCACCCCCTACCCCCCAGAATAAACACAACTGAGCGGCCATGTGACTACACGTTAGCCAATAGGATTGTTTACTCTTCTTGCTTCCTACTGGGTGGAATGCAGGCCTAGAGTAGAGAGGGCAGCCATCTTGGATGGCAGAGTGACCTTGTGAGAAAGGGTCGGTGCTCGCAAGGTCCCCAGCCTTTTTTTACACAGAGTACGGCCTCCCATCAGCCCTGGGTTTTCAACCTTTGGATGCTTGCATAGAAGAACAGATGTCTGTCTTCCTTCAGCTCCTGCTAATTTGAATCTTTGTTACTCACTGCCAATTAGTGTTTCCAGAGATGGGGCTATAGTCCTGAGAGTTGGGAAATGCTGTGAAAACCTGGTGACGAGGTATCAGAAATGGGACTGTAGTGATTTTGATGGAGGAAAGAACAGAAAATCCAAAGGAGGCATCACAAGCCTGACTCACACAAGGAGTTGGGGGTAGAAGGGATTAGCATAGCCAGTAACCCAGCAGAAGAAACTAAGATCCTTAGGCACCAACCAAGCAAAAGACCCAAGCAGGTATCAATCAGACTGCTGCAGGGACATCTGCAGTACAGAACCAAAGGTAAAGATATGGAGATTGAGCCCCTGGAGGAATCTCCTGTCCCTTTCAGATTCTACTAGTTTATTCAAAGTCAACAGGTGACCCAGGCTCACAGGGAGTGAGCCCCTCCCAAGAAGAAGCTCCTATATCAGGGCAGCCTTTGCACTAGCCCTCAGCACTCTTCTGCCTATGCAGGAGTGCTCTTTCTTTCCACCGCCTCTCGCTCCGCAGGGCAGCAGCCTCCTGCCTGCCTCTGACCTGTACCAGGCCTGGCCTCCTCTGCACTGACCTCCCTCAGCGAAGACCCCTGTCCTCAAGGCCTCCCACCTGCAACCATGCAGGCCTGTCAGCAACCTGCCCCCTTCCAGGCAGCTCTTCTGCCCGCTTGTGCCTATGCAAGTGTCCTGTACCGGCCTGTCCCTTTTCTAATAAAG